AGTAGTGCGACGGCCTCGGTCGATTCGGCATTCTCAGGAGCCTGCCCAACAAGATTGCAACGCATGCGGAACATGCGGCCTGCGAAGACTGGCCTTCGTCTCCGCCACGACACTCCCTGTGGCATGCCGGGAAACCGAGTAGCGCAAGTCCGAAAACTGGGCTCTCCGTTGCGACCTGGGGCTCATCGGAGCTCGCAGTGGCCTCCCAAACTCGAACGACACACTTTCTGCGTGAAAACCTTCTAGACGTGCCTGATTCTCATCCTCGGGTCGATCCATCCTGATCGACAAAGACAGGCTTGCAGCGCATGTCCAATGACCTTCCCCAGCCTTCTTGACGAAACTATCTAGCTCGCCGATCTGGATGCCCTTCCTCATGACATTTCTCATCGCCTGAAGCCGTAAGGACACACCGACCGAAACCGTGGAAGTCGCCGAACAGAGGACCAGACGTAAAGAAGTCGAAAGGGCACCTGAGTGGACGAAGGTGAAAGGGGCGTCAAGGGAAGGGGCGACACACAACGAATTGAAGGGAAGGACAAGTACCTGACAGAGGGCGAGAGGGGAGAGGGGTTGATAGGGTCAAGGGTCTAGGCTAGAAGCGTGCCAGAAAACAAGCAAAATGCTGCAGCACATTACGGAGCAAAGCGCTTGAGTTGTGGCTAGCTAGAATACTGTTACGAAATGAAAACACAACGGCATCACGGAGCAAAGGCCACCGAGCATCCCTGAATAATCCTAAACCCTCACGGGCGATAGCCACAGGCTCGCCGTGATTCGACACTGAGCGCCCGAAGGCACGAAAACTTGAGCCCAACCTGGGGGCGTACCCACCAAAATCGTACGCTCGCCACAGTTCGGCGCAAAGCTTCCCAGCCAAGCTTTTTTTGGCCCGTGCGGGCTGGCTGTGCCGCTTTTGGCCGGTGGGCCCCCGTGATGCCCGGCGATTCTGTGTGGCTGTGCTCGACGGTCCGGCGACTGGAGCCAGTCGGGGCGAAAACGAGCCATCGGCGCCGGGTCATCCGAGAAGTACATCACGCTCGCACGCTGCCCACTCTGACCAAGCTGTCGTCCACCCCCGAAGCCTGCGTCGCCGTCAACCGGTTTCTGAAACAACGCTTCCCCGGGCAATCGTGGACTTCCATCGCAATCGTGCACAACCCATGCATAGGCTTGCACCGAGACATCCAAAACATGATCGGGCAGCCCAATCATGCGATCGCTCTGGGCGATTTCCTGGGCGGCCGGGTCTGGATCGAAGATGATGCAGGCGCAGCAACGGTGCGGCTCTCCACAAAGAAAGGTTTCCGTGAGCTAACTGGAACCTGGGTCGACATGCATGACAGGCCCGTGACCTTCAACGCCCGACGCTACCACATGGTAGAGCCACACCAGGGCAACATGTGGTGTCTTGCAGCTTACACACCACAATCGTTCAAGCGAGCAACAGCGGATGTCGTAGATGCATTGAAACAGCTTGACTTCCCCGTGCCACAATGGCGCTGATTCTTCGTGCTACATATGCTACATAGCACTCTGCGGCCAGCGTTCCGAAGACCCGTGACTTTGCGTGCTACACATGCTACATGGCACAGC